TCGTTTTTACCGTTAATTGAGCGATTAATTTTTTCTATGTGAACTAAATCGGCTTACGTCAATTTTTTTTTTTTTTGTTAAAGAGAATTATGTTTTTCTGGCATTTTTTTCGTTTTTTAATAGAGATGATCAAATTTTTCTTCAGATAATATATGCCTTGTTACGACGGTTGTTGTTGTTGTTGTTCTTGTTATTATTAAAAGCATGAGCTATGAATGGATGTTCACCAATTTCATCGATTGTAGCTCGTTTTGATGGTTGTACGGCCAACATCCATGATAAACAATCTCTACAATTAGAACTAAGACGATAATTATAATTTCGTAATCTTTTCTCTATATTTCTACTATATGTTCGTGTATATGATGAATCATTATTACAATGATATTTCTGTTGTTGTTGTTGCCATTCATTTGATGGTTCAAATATTTGTTTTAATGCTTCAATTCGTTCTTGTTTTGTATTAAAACGTACAACATCCAATGGATAAAAACCATGTAATGTATAAAAAAGACAAACACCTAATGCCCAAACATCACCTTTATATGCACAATATGGACTAATCATATCGATATCTTTTTTTGAATAAAAATAATATGAACGTAATATTTCCGGTGCCATATAGATTGATGTTCCAACTGGTTTGAAAAATATTTCTCGTTCATCATCAGTTCTATTACTACTACCATTGTTGTTGTTGTTGTTCGTATAATTTCGATTGTTGTTTTCCAAATTTTCATCATTACGATCAACCAATGTACTAAGACCAAAATCACATAATTTAACAATAAAATTAAAACGATCATTTTGTCGATTATTATTTGCAGGACGATGTAAAAGCATATTGCTTAATTTTATATCTCGATGTACAATTCGTTGTCCATGTAGATATCGTACGGCACTAATCATATCGGCAAAAACTAATCGACAAATATTTTCGTTTAATTTTCGATATTTTTTCAGATAATGACTTAATGTTTGAGAATTAGCATATTCCATAATGATAAAACAACATTTAAATAATGGTTGTTGTTGTTGCTGTTGTTTCTGTTGTTGTTGTTGTTGTTGTAAAGCCATTTCATCACCAGCCGATTGATCCGGATCACAATGATTGTTGTTAATGTTGTCAACAATTTGATTTTCATTCAATGAACAATCATTTTCAAAATAATCAATTAGGGTAACAATATTTTCATGTTGACTAGCACGACGCATAATATTAACTTCATTATAGAATCGAGATCGCATTTTAGTTGTATTCAGTACATTGTTGTTGTTGTTGTTGTTGTTATTGTTATTAATATTTTTATGTTGTTGTGATGATTGAATTTTTTGCATAACATTCGATATAACTTTACATGCATAACGATTATCATCACGTTCAATACGAAATACTGAACCAAAACCACCTTTTGCTATAAACCAATTATTATCATTAGTTTTATAACCATTACGTTGTAAACATTTACGAAACATTTGATTTGTTAAATATTCAAGATGTTTATCAAGTTTTTCTTGCCATGATGGATCATTTAGTTCAATTGGTGCTTGTTGTTGTTGTTGATCCAATTCCGAATCTTCATTTGATAATTTTTTATCATTTTGATTCGATATTTTTGTACCAATATCGTTGTTATTTTGATCGATAAATGTTACATCTGTTTGTGGATAAACATAAAATGAAATCCTTGAATTCAAAGAAAAAATCAAATAAACACCTAACCTTTATTATCCACAGTGTTTGTTGTAGATTGCGCTGATAATCGCATCTGTTTAAAATCATTTCTTAATCGATCATATACTTGTGATATACGTTCGCAAAAAATTTTTGTCTTTTCATTCATTAGATCCATGTTGTTGTTGTTGTTGTTGTTATCATTGTTGGTTGTGATGGCTATTTGTGGTGATGATAATCGTCGATGTTGATGATTACCTGTAACATTAGTTGCCATTCGAATATTATGCTGCTGATGATCAGTATTCATTTCAATTCCAGACAATTATTTAGCTATGTTGATTTTGTTTTGACTATATATCAAGATTCGTGTAAACAAAACAGAAAAAAACAATGAATCAAGGCCGTTGTTGACAAAACTTTTTTTTTTAAAAAAATTGAGTGGCTGTCGTCGACCGAACAAAATTGATAATTGTTTTTTTTTCTTTTTCACTTGATTATCACACCTTTGATTAGATTTTTTGCTTTTTGCGATTCAGAATTGGTTTTTTTTTTCGTTTCACTCTTTTTTTTGCTCGTTTCAAATCAATAAAATATTAAATGAATGAATTTAAGAGATGGCCCTCTTTTGGTTCGATGTTTTTTTCTGATTATAAGAATCTTTCTAAATGGCCACCACCACTTGTTGTTGAATGTATAACATTCGATAATCAAAAACATACAAAACAAAACAAAAATTCCATATGATAATCAATTCTATGTTTGTGTTTACCATTTTTATACAGCTGAATTAATCCCACCAAACGAATAATATAATCAAATATTATTAATTTTATTTGAAAAACAATTTAGAATTTTCAATCAATCAATCAATCAATTGTTTTGGTTTTGTTATGAATTCAATTAGATCCAAGAGAAAGAAAAAAAAATAGCTGTATTATATTGAATTTGATCCAATATAACACACACTCACTCACTCAATCACAACAATAATCCAATAATATTTTTGAATCAATCGATACCGAAAAAAAATTTGTTGATGGGGCAAACTGTTGTTGATGATTTGTTATTATTTTGATTATTATTTTTTCCCTATTGATCAATCATTGAATGACATTTAATCAACACATGTCCTACACTCCATTTTAACCATCATCATAATCATCATTCGGACGTAAAAATCGTATTCAGTATTAAGATTTTATCCAAGTAGTGTTGTTAATATTAACGAATCAAATAACGATATAAGGGCCTATTTTTAGTTAACAGAGAGAGGAAATAAATGGTTTTTTTTCTTCTCAAACAAAAAACAAAAATATTTTGTAAATATACCCAACCAACCAACCACCAGTTGTGGAAACATTTTCATTTGTTGTTGTTGTTGTTATTGATAAAATAGCATTTTATTTTGCCTATTGTATTACAATATTGTTGTTGTTGTTGTTTTGTTGATAGGGCCCCCGTTTTTCTTTTTTTTGCTTATTTGTTTGGTCCCCGATATACAATCAACCATTTTGGTCGTTGTTGTTGTTATTTGTTTGTTTGTTGTTGATAAATTTTTTTGCTTCTTTTTTGCTTAACCAAGAAATTGGTTTAGGATAATAGTTTTTTTTTGGATTGAAGAAGAAGGAGAAATAAAAAAACATATGTGAAACACTTAGCGTTTCATATAAATATCAATCGATTGTATCGATTGCTTTTTGGTTGACATGAATGGTATAGCTACCGATCATAAGTTTTTTTCCCCTTTTCTTTTCCTGGTTACATAGTTGATTTGGTTTCATTGATTTTTTATTTATTTATATTTATTCTAGAAGCTCACAATCAACAACAAATTCACACCAAAATTCATATCCATTCATTCATTGGGTTTATCATGATTATTTCAAAATTATTCGACCATATTACGGGTATTCGGTTTTTGTTTTGTTTCTTGTGTTTCATATATGACATTTTATTTACAATTTATATTCACATTGTTGTTTGATGATTTGTTGCGAGAAAGTGTTTTTTTTTTTGGTAAGAAGAAACCTTCACTATGGATGTATTTTCGCTTCATTCGGTTGGAATGTCAAAGAAATATGTATTAAATAAAAGATTTCTGCTTCAACAAATTTGAATTGAATTCGAATTGAAATTTTTTTTTGGTAAAACCTAGACTTTGTCTGAAAACTTAATGGACTGAATGGAATATTTTATTGAATGAATAAACAGAATATATCCAAAGATTGAAGAAAACAGATTGTCGAAGTAAGGAAAAGAAAAGAAAATCTTTCGTACAATATCGGTGTGCAATCATGCAGATGCACACCATTATTTATATCTGGTGTAGCCAATTATCATCTGTTGTGTTTGTTGATCAACATATCAGCCTCAAACTATTTGAAATAACACACAAACAACAAATGTGTTTATAGCCTATTAATCTTGTTCCTTATCTATTAGTTTACAGTTGTTGTTGTTGTTGATGACCACTGAAACGGAATTATGATCATCATGATTGACCATCAGATTATAGCTATCACCAGCCATGACATTGATCTAAAATTATATTATTATTATCATTCTCGCCTTCATAATCGTGATGATATGGTTTCATGGACAACAACACCTTGTTCATCATTATAATCATAATCATCATCATCATCGTATTTAACTAATTGTATAGCCCAGTTATTATGAAGAAAGAAAGAAGAAAAAAAATGGAAAGGATTGCCGCCACCGCTCCTTATTAGCGGGTTAAAAACGTGCTGGTGTAAAGCAACAACAACAAAAAAACGTGTCCAACTAAATGATCAAAAAAAAAAAAAAATTTGACACGATTGAAAACATATTGTATACGGGAAACTCTTATTATATTGAATTGATGATAATAATGGTAATGATTATTATAAGAAACTTCAAAAAAAAAATCATTATAATAATAATAATAATCCAGTCGGCCGACATGGTTGGAAAAGAAAAATAACAAAGTGTGAACCCATTCGATTCTATTGACACAAATATCATTGGTTATGTGTGAAAATAGAATCGAATGTTATTTTCTGGAACACATGTTTTCTGTTTGTTTGTTTGTTTGTTTGCTTGTCAAAAAATGTTGTTTTAGTTATTTTTTGTCGATGATGACGACAATGATCAAACACATTTTTTTTCTGCAGAGTCTGATTCTTTGCCCAATTATTTGGTGACCGGATTTTTTTTTCTTCCCGAATGTGTTTAACACAATCAAACATGATTTGGATTGTTTATTCATAGTTTTTTTTCTTTTTTATTTCTAAATCATAAATGTTATGATTTATGGCCCAAACTAAATGTTGTTCCATTATTGACTAACAAAAATATAATATTGTTGCATGTCATATACCTTTATATTTGAGGTGAGGGGTTTTGATTTCCAACACAATTTCACAGATTGACAGTGAAATTTTTCTTATTTTAAAAACTTTTTCTCTCTTGATTTACTTTAACATTTATTCGATAATTTTATTAGGGCCTGTTTTTTTTTCTTTCTCAGATCATTTATAATAACTTTACAAACAATCACAGTACGAACAGATTTTCACTGAAAAAATAAATAAAATTCCTATATTTCATAAGCCATAAATAATATCGAACACGGATGCCAATAACAAACGAAACTAGAGCTTGATGATGATCGCGTGATCCTCTCCTGAACCGAATAAATGGCCAAGCGAAGAAAAACGAATTGATGTGTGATTACTTTTTTTTTGTACTTTTGACTATATCATCTAACGGGACAGGTGTTACCATTTGTGTCATTGGGCATGCTATGATGATGTCAACTATTCAATCGATCCTATTGCTTTGACCTCTGGTCCTCAAATCAATATATAAATAAATAGTATCAGTAAAGTAGTTCACCAAAATTCAAGTATGACCTGAACCACCACCGATCAAAATCACAACCGACAACAAGTTGTCATTTGATTGTCGCCATTTGACCTATAGAAATTGTGGTCGACGGTCGTCATCTTTCGTTATCGTTAATAGTTATTTACAAGCTGCTGCTTGTCGACTCAATGACCTCTCATAAACTTTCACCTTTTGTCCAATAAGTAAAGTAACATTATATATAGTGATTGGCATTATAAATATGGCCGATGATGATGATTTATTCGTCTATACCAGAAAAAAAGGAAAAATTTGTGACGAAAGATGTACATTAGAGTTAGAAAGACCAATGGAATGTGTCATATGTTTACAGTTTCTCACCAGATTTTTTTTTTGCATTGATCAATAAAGATTTATAAGATTTAAAGAATCAATGAAGGATTGCAACCGGCTCATACTTTATTAGTGTATATGGAGCCATGATGATGATTTTATTTAGCTTTTTTATGGGATAACCAACAAAAAAAAAGTGTGATAAAGTGGTGTGTAAAGTAATGATTGCACTTGAATAGTTTTTTTTTGACTTTATTGGGTGTTTTTTTTTACCTGTCTATATGTGTGTTTATAATAATAGTAGTGTATTGAACCATAACCGGTAAGTTGTGTAAAAAAAAGGCAGATTGTATGTTTGACCCGTTTGCCGTCCATCCCCTCTCATTTTACATTAAAAATGTGTTCAAATCGAATGAATATTATCCACACAAAAATGAAATGAAATGAAATGCGAATAACAATGGCTAATTGAAACATGAATTTTGAATAGAAATAGATTGTGAATTTTGGGGTAACAAATAACTTTGAATAACTTTTTTTTCAATGAAAAAGAAAAATACATTTTCACTTATCATCTGCTTATTTGATATGCTACAAATGAATGAATGTTAACAAAAAAAAAAAAAAAGATCGAAACTAGACTTGCCCCTATGTCCATTTAACCATTTTAAATGATAATAATAATAATAAAAACATGAAGACAAAAAAAGGGTATACGATTCATTCATTCATTCACATTTGATTTGTCAAATATTTTTTTCCTTTAATTTTTTTTATTTCTCCATTCATTTATTTATTTTTTGATCTATTTTCTAATGATAATAAGCATTTTTGGTTAAACTTGACCCGTTTTAGTTACATTGGCCACCAGCAATTTGTTCATAAAATACGTTTAACACGTTCACTACCGGCGACGCATATACATGCGTCGTTTGAGTTCTTTATTTCGAGCCCACCGACGCAAATGTATGTCGTTTTCGATTTTACATTTTAAGCAAATTTGCGTCGTTTTCGATTTTACATTTATGCTTGCCGACTCAAACGAGTGGTTGTTTATTATTTCTTCAGTTCATTACAAATTCTCATATTTTTTTTATATTACAAGTAAATTTGATGTAAGTAAATAAATATGAAGTAAAAAATAAAATAAAATATTGATAAAGTGTGTATATCTCTCCACAGAATATAATTTTTGCCATTTTTATGGAACCACCAAAAAAGAGAAAAAGCGTATTGAATACTGTTTTTTTTTCATATAATGGATCTAGCAATTTGGAATGCCTGTTGGTTGTACAATAAAACTCATTCCACTAAAATGACATACTTAGAGTTTGGAAATGCTATTGCAAAACAATTATTAGGCGTTTAAAGTGATCCCATTCATCAATAAAACTGAACAAAATCACTTTCCAAATAAAAAAATGCCAAAAAGACTTAGATGCCGTATCTGTAGCGCTAGAAAGGTGCGAAAAGATACCTTCTTTTCTTGTGATACTTGTAGAACAAGCACCGGGAAGCGAAATTTAACAAACAAACTAGGCCGTATGGCATTGAAATTGCAAGAATATGATTTCAAAATCGAACATATTGAAGGCAACAGCAATGTTGTTGCGGATGCTTTATTACGAATTTGTTTAATTGAATCGTTTGACTGGCAATCGGAACAAGAAAAGGATAGTATTATACTTGATTGTATTGCTTCAAATCCTGATCATTTCATCAAAAAGGGGGCTATCCTCTATCGTGTGAATGATGGATTTTCAGCGTTATGTATTCCGTCAATTTTATAATTTAAATAATCATAATCTCAATAGTGCAAATGAATTTATTTTTTTTGTAGAAATAATTTCTCAATTTTTAATAATATTTGTAAAAGTTATTCTAATCTTAAATTGTAATTTTGTTTGTTTGTTTCTTTTTTCTTTATTCGTTATTGTTCGACACAAGTGCCTTCTTGGCAGAGTGTTGATTTTGTAAATAAATAAATAAAATCTAATTAAATGATATTTATCATTTAGATTCAAACTTTTTATTTTTTTAATATTCCTTATATAATTACTTTTGCAAATATACGTCGGTTTTAAAAATTGCTTTTTAAAAATTGATTTGTTTCTCAAGCGCTGGTAGCGAACGTGTTAACCAAATTTTTTTTTAATGACAATATCAAATGACCAATTGGTTTTTTTTAAAAGTATTTTTGTTTATCTGCAGTACAAAAAAAAGATCGAATCGACTTAAAGATGCGAATCAAGAATGTGTATCGTTTTTTTTGTTGTTGTTGTTGTCTGCCTGACAATCCGTCATTTGACGACCAAAATGTGAATAAAAGTGGCACTCAATCAATGTCAAGTCAATGTTGAACTTAGACAATTCAGATAATCACATTTATATATTCGTTGAAATAAAGTTATTTTTTCGAATATATACTTGACGAACCCACCCTTGTCACCTCGATTCAATTAACATACAAACACACATGAACAGTTTTTTTTATCGATCAATTTGGATCAATCAAGCTCATAAATTGTTATTGAAATCATTAAACAAAAAAAATTGAACAGAGGCTATGAAATGTCAATCAACAATCGTCGTATTGTCTCGACCTGGTCAATGGACAAAGGTATATATTATTGTCTACTATAGACATCGATTGTCATCACTAGACCTGTTTACCATGGCCATGTGTTGAGTTGTAAAATTTGTTATCAACGAATCGGTCATATAACCATGTCCATCTTTTCTTTTCTTTTTGTTGAATCCGGGATCTTGATTGTCATCATATAAAATGGCCAACAATGTTTGGTTACCCTCATCAATGGATAAATTGTGGATTGGCCAATTTGTGACCAATTTTCGATGAAATTTTCGTTGCCACACACATCGAATTCGATATTCTAGTTTTGGCTACACATAAGATTATGATGACTGATATGAAAATGATCATTGAGTTAGTTGACTGAAATCATTTCATCGGTTAGGCTCTGTCTAGCTAATTACTGACTGATTGATTCATTAATTATTCCTATCATTGAATATGATTTGGCTAGCCTATCTTTCATTTTCTACAATTTCAACTCAGTTATGTGAATAAATGGAAAAAAAGATTTATTGGTAAAACTTGAAAACTTGAATGATTTTAGCATAATCGACTGGTTCGACTAGTTGTGTATGTGTGTGTGACAGTGAGAATTGATTGATTCTGTAGACCACGATTATTTATTTTTTTTCATTTGCCTTGTAGCTAGTCATAGTCAAACACAATCAACAGGTGGCCATCGATCAGCCAAAATTGAAACCGTTTTTCCAATGAATTTTTTTCTTCTTTGGTTTCACAAACATCATCAAACAGCTTCGTAAAGTTTCCATACTCGATTTTTTAGCTCTTTTGATGCATAATGATCTGGATATAGATTTAATGATTTTTGTACATATTCATAGCTAAGATCAAAATGGCCAGAATTTTCTGCTAATAAAGCTAAATTATAATGTGGTTCATATCTATAATTGAAAAAAAAAACATTGATTTAATTTTATCAATCAACAACAAACAAACAAACAAACTTACAAATATGATCCAACATTAGCCGATGATTGAAAATAAGATTTAGCCTGTTGAACATTGGCTGTAGTTGTTGTGATTGTTGTATTTGGTTGTTGATAATTATGACTACCGGATGTTCCAATTCCTTTGGTTATTTCTAAAACACCTAGATTATTATATGCTTCAGCATGATCATTATTAGATGATGATGCTAATCGAAAACAATAAAGAGCCAATTGTCTATCGCCAGAACCAAGTGCTACATGACCAATATTATACCAAATATCTGCAATCATTTCATCAGTTTCAGCAAACATAAGAGCTCGTTCAAAACAAGTTACTACCATATCGTATTGTTGTGAATAGAAACAACAAAGGGCGATATTATTGTAGATTTCCGATTTAAATATTCCCATCTGTAATAATCGTCGATAATAACGTAATGCAATCTCTGGTTGATCACTGTAAAATTCATTCATAGCAATCGAAGCAATGGCTTCGATATCGATTGCATTATAATTCAATATTGATCGATACAATCCGATTGATTCATCCATTTCATTCATCGATTCATGTATTCTTGCAGCATATCTTAGCAATAGTGTTTCATTAGGATGCTTTTCCAAACCTTGTCGATATAGATCCAATGCTTTAAGTGGTTGATCCATTCGAATGTATACTTTTCCTAACCAAATATAAACATCGACAGCCACTTCATAATGTTGTAGCGCATCACGAAAATATTCTTCTGAATCACGAAGTAATGCTAGTTTGTAATAACATTTACCGATCTGAGCCTATTTATTAGGATCAAACCATCGAGGTAAGAATAATGCTATAAATTTAACTAAATTTACTCACCTTCCACCACCAATTCATTTTAGCCATTTCTACATTGGTCTTCAAAGCTAACTGTAAAGCTATCCTAAAATTACATTGATTATGGAAAATGTATTCAAAAAGTGCACGAGCCATTGGTGCCATTTTTGAGTATTTGTCTATATTCAAACGTTCTACGTTGAGAAATTCGCCACCACTTTCCTGTAAAGCAATCATCGATGCTGTACCAAGACGAGCATGACGCCCTGAAGCTGTGGTCATCGGTCTAGCAGAATAGCCAGTACGTGGTGCAGATAAAGCAGATTCCAATGATTGATTTGGCCCTATACTATTCGTACCAGGTCTAATCATTCCGCTCAATGGTCGACCAGATTGTGTGACGGGTCGAATCGCTTGTGATGTGGATTGTCGCGCTAACGATGTTGGTGTAGCTGTTCGAAGCGATGTTCCAGGACGAGCTGTTTCGGCTATTCGTGTTTCATCCATCAATGTTTCTGCTATACCATCTTCATCGGCTTCCAGATCATCAACATAAGTTTGTTCGGTCAAACATCGAAGTTTCAAACACCAGAAAAGCTATCGATTACCGTTATGGATCAGAATGGATAATTACCATATCAACATATGGTACAAACCTGATTTTTTGGATTCTGTTCAATTTGTTCATTACAAATTTCCATACATCGATCATAATAACGACGTCGATACAATGACATTGCATAACATAATGGATCCATGTTCAACAAACAAATGAACAATACTAATTCAATTCATCACTAAACATACACAAATTCAAACAAACAAAAAGTGGTCACCATGGTAACAAACCGAATGGCTCGTCAAAACAATTTTTATTTCATTTTTTTAAATTTCACATTCAAATCTAGTTAAACTAATTCGGCGCTAAACATTTTTTTTCGAGGACAATGATCTTAAATTTTCAATATTTGTTAATAATGATGATTTTAACATATTTACAACAAAAAAAATATTATATAATCGCATATATGCACAAATGAGACAAAATTCATGCGGTGACCGTAAAAAAACCAATTTTGGTTGAAAAAAGGCATAATCGATCCATGTGTGATGGGTGTAGTACAGTAATATATTTACAAACTGGATGATGTGTTCAGGGGAAAAAATGATCAATCGCTGTCAAATCCAACCGGTAGTCTACGTTTTTTATTCCGAAGCATTGATTTTGATATGGTCCTTTGTGGTACATCCTCCTATAATTATACAATCGATAGATGAATTAATTCTAACTAATTAATTGACAACTAACCTCTGAAGAATCGGATTCCGTATCGGAATTATTGGCAGTCGTATTTTGATTCGATGTTTTTTTGTTTGAAGTTTTCTTAGTTCCTGTTGTCGTTGAATTCGAGCTGTTTGTTTTCCTTTGTGATCCTGATTGTGATGCATTAGATGAGGAACATGTTGAGCTAGCATTCTTACCATTATTACTGTTACCATTATCGTTATCATCGCAAGGCACATTAGTGAAAAGATCAGCATATCTAATGATAAAAAAGAATAAATTCAATCTGTATTATGTTTCAAATGGATAAATTTACTTGGTTTTTTGTTGACTTGTACAGATCTGCTTCAATTGAACCAACATGGCTATCAATGCATCCTGGTTGAAAACTAAATGATAATAAAACAAAGATCAGATAATGAATTAAATCAAGGATTAAAATCATACAATCAACATCTTTATTGCTGGCGAATGTTCGTCGCATTTCATCCAGATAGAACAGCAACTGTTCAATGTTGGCTGTGGTGTTCATTTTGCTTTTCGAGACATTGTTCAACATCCTAAACAGAAAAAGATTTATTAAAACTAACTGAATTTATTAGGGATAAGCTTTACCTTTTGTTGCGTTTATTGGGAGAGCTAATGATCGAAGAAACATAGGTGCCAATCACTTCACCCAATTTATCTTCCCATCGTTTTGCCCAGTACAACAGTATGCTAATCACAAAACAGGCATCGTTCAGCTTATGATGATCACGAGCCATCAACTGTTTCAGATATTGATTGGTGGGCATTTCACGTTTGAATATTTGAACTAGATGACTATTCAATCCGCCTAGAACCTCTGTATAAATTAAATGAGCATTAAAAACATCAAGAAATCAATAAAACAATAGCTACCATTATTTGAATCCAACTTGGATAAAGAATTTAGATAGACATCAGGAGAAAAGTCATGAGCATCTAACAAATCCCAAAGTAAATGTTGTTGTATATGATCGAATTGATTGGCCAATGCTAACAAAGACAAATTGTAGAAAGAAATTAATGACAGTGAATAAATTAATCAATAATAACATACAGATAATGACCGAAAGAGAATCCTTTTTGCACAACCGCAATTGATCACGTTGAATAAGAATGACCAGGTATTGAACGGAATTATAATCACCGAATTCGAGTATCATTCGGATAAGATCAAGATTGCCCACCATAATGGCAGGAAATGATTTCATCACAGCCGGTATTAGGTAGAAAAATATATACAGATCATGCCAGGTAGCCGTTTCCAGATCGGCGATCAATGCGGTCGATAAATCCTTAGACATGCAACGAACCAGATCACGGTATACTGCCATTTGATCAAATGTATTACCCGTAACAACCAGATAATGCAATAATAAAAATCCTATCCTAACGTTGTTTGTTGCCATTTCGGCCAATAGCTGTTTAAGTTGAATCACATTATGTCCACCGCTATTACTTTCATTATTATCATCATCGTCTTTATCAGCGTTGTCACTACAATTGTTCTTGGGCTTCTCTTTTTCACGATAACATCTGACCAAAGCGGCAAACATGACAAACAATGGCCCATCAATTGATGCTTTCAATGCTCGTTGATCTGGTTGGTACCAATTCGTATATGAATGCAGATAATAATCGGGAAAACGTTTCTGACTCATATCTTCGTCGAGTATGGCCGACAAGATGATTGTCAGATTGGGTATAATGTCGGCGATCGGTGATTCTTCATCTTCATCAACGGTAGAAGATGACTGAGTCAATTTTTTGACCAGTTCTTCCATCTGTGCACATTGATCGGTACGGTTCCTAACAAAATAAAAGAATTGATTAAAATATGATGTTTGTGTCAGCAATGTATTTACCTGGCATCATAGAAGCGCTGAAGTATAGATTTGATTGGTTCTAAATGAATTTGGTTGATTTGTTCTTGCATTTCTTGTGGTGATAAACTGTAAGACAATCTTTCATCCAATGGTGCTGATGAGTCAGGATAATTATAATCTAATTGATGTTCAATGTAAGGACTCTGATGGTGACTGATGGACGAAGAATAAACGGATGAATCGATCAGAGTAACATCATCACTGCTGTTCGATTCATCAATGATGGTTACTACTTCTGGCTTAATCTGAATGTTTGAATCATTGCCATTGGAGTTATTAGAATTCGAAAACAACGGAGTTTCGGCTGCTGAAGGCGATGCAATTTTAGGATTTTGTAAATGATGTCCCATCATCAATGAGGAATTCATCGACGATGCAGGTGACATAATGACTGATACTGGATTTCCCAGCAGTTGTTGTCCAATGTGTAACTGTTGCGATTGTTGTGGTCCATTGTGGCTCATTTGATTGGGCACAACAATTGTTGAACCTGATGATGATGAAATTGGAGATGGGGATGGTGAGGTGGATGATGACATCACAGTCGAATTTAATATGTTTGCTATGTATTCGGTTGAATTATTCATTGATATAATGGTGGATGTAGGAGTCGAAGATGATGACGAAGAAGAAGAAGAGGGTGATGAGGAGGAAATTGCTTGACCACCAATCGAATTGATGGAGCCATTATTTTTGTTCAATGCCATGGCACCAGATGGAATCTTTTTAGCTGCAGCTATTATTGGCTTTGAAACAACACCAGTGGTGCCCGAAAAGCTATTTGTTTTTTTCATCTTTTTGGTGGCTGGTGGTTTCGAACCAATGGCTGAATTATTTGAGGCAATTTTTTGGTTTGTATCACTGGAATCATTATTAGATTCATCCTCATCATCACTAAACTTAGAAGTAGATGCCTGTCCCATGACCATAGGCATTTGCGATTGCTGTTGTTGCGAATACATGATTGTAGGCATCTGTTGTTGAAGCGTTTGCGGCGGGAAATGGTCGATGGGTCCTGGCGTGGATATCTGTTTGGTGATAACATTGATCGGTTTAATATTAGTGAGTATAGGATTAATCTGTGGATGGATCGTAGTCGTGGTTAGTAGCGAATGGGTTTTCGGATCGATCATCGGATGTGAACCCGCTGTGACCACAGTGACTACCGATGATTTAGAATTATTCGATAATAAGCGAACCGATCCCGAAGATGTGGCCATCATCATTGATGATTCAAACTGACTAGAATTGGTTGCCGTATTTTTAGCGACAGTAGTTAATGTAGTCGATTGGCAACAAGCAGTAGAATAAGTTGAAATATAAGAAGTAGTTGAAGCGGAAATAGAACAAGTAACAGCAGTAGTAGGAGTGAAGATCGGACAGGAAGAAGGCGTTATGTATGAGGAAATCGTACTAGTGGTAAGTGGCCAATCGCTATTAGTGACATCAAGTGTCGAAGTTGAGCCAATCTAAGACAAGATCAGATCATGACAACAACAATAGGAGAAGATCATGACATTGTCATCATCGGCATTTCAACTTAACTAACTAAAACTATTCTAAAATCGATCCCATTCACACATTCACTTGAATATTTTACACTGTAAACATTTACTAACCTGATTGCTGCCGGCCATATAATGATGGCCATTGATTCCAGCCGATCCCGGACCCTGTAATGATGAAGATTGAGGTTGATTGGGCAATGGTTGCTGAAACATTAATTGCTGTTGTTGTAGATCAGAAAAATTTTGAATTTCTGGAAAAGTTTTCGTAATCAATTGTCGCAAATGCAGCTCAATTTTGGTCGGATCAAACATGAAAGCCAATGAAGTGGTGACACGTTTGTCCAGAAGATGAAAAAAAGAATTTCGAATTCCCATTTTGATTTGTGCAGCTAGTGGTGGACAGAATTCTCCTGATATCTACAATGTACAATATTGATAAAAATTGCTCTTAATTCTATTTGTAAATATTGCTTACCCGACATAGAAAATCTAATAAAGCGGCTGTGAGGCCAGGATGATTTTTAAGTGAAAAGTACATGACTAGCACTCCCGGTTCGAGGTCCATTATCATGTTGTTGGTAGAATCTTGTATATCAAACAGAAGCCAATCGTAAAACAAAGCCAAACGTGACCATGGTAACGATAAATTTTGTGGACAAGAATTAAGAATCCAGCCAATAATAGCCCATCGTGGCACCATACCCATGGCAATCTCTTCATTGCTTGGATGTATTGAATTGCATATGAATCGTATCAGATCAGTGCGTATCATTTGATTATCTGGTGTATTTAAATATGCTCGTTGAAACCATTCCTGATATCGACGCTGTGATCCAAAACGAACTTGTGAAATAAGATAGTTTAATTTTCTTTCCATTTCGAATGTAACGAGAAGCCGTAAAAAACGACGATGCGTTCTTGTTCGTAGTACTTGCATTAGATTGAATTTTGGTGATAGACTTGATGGATTGTTGAGCATCGTTTTCCAAAGCTGTTCAAATTCTGATATTCTACAAACTTGTTGCAACAATCGAATTAAATCTCTTCCAATGCCAATAAAATCGATGAAACGTTCAGTTAGAAGACAATGACAATATTTTACAGCCTTCATTAAAAGCCTTGAAGATGGCATCAGATCGACAATCAATCGAAGATATTTGACAAGTGCGTATTGCATTAAAGGTATATTGTTATCATAACAAAGTCGATGTTCAATTAGAATGTTTAAAATATTTTCGGCTAAAATTAAATTTCGTTGAGTCATATCACTTGGCAAAATATTTCGCATCAGATTATAAAATATGGTCTCAATATTATGTATTGAACTTTTGAGCAATTCTTTGCACAATAATAGTAAACGATGGCGAGCATGTTCATGAAGACGTGTAAATCTTTCTGTAGTAATTTGGTTAATATAGTTACAAAGTAAATTTCCACCATCACGATTTGACAATATGATAGTAAGGAATAGCTAAAGAATATCGAATAATGTTATAATATTGAATTTTGATATATAGGCAATAATCAATAATACATACCCGATGAGAATTATCATTGCTATTGTCGACCAACATCGACACAATCAAACCGAGAGTAATTTCCTCCGAATATGTGACACTTTCACGACTCATTCGTGTTAACTCTTCATGTATCTGATGTTCCGATCTACCTTGCATTTGTTCTTGCACAAATTTATAATTGCGACACATTTTCTATTTTGAATAGAGAAAAAAAATAATAATTAAAATCAAAAATAACTTTTGAACGACTTACTTCTTCATAATCGTCTTTAGTTTCGATTATACTAAAAGAGAATAGCCGTTCAAGATTCTGATCCAATGTGGCCGGTTGTTGTTGTTGTGAAGTAATCAGACTTGAAGAAACAATATCCGGCTGTTGTTGTGATGATTGTAATGGTGGCATCGGTGGTCCTCCACCAATATAATTCGATGTCGACATGTGTATGATGTTTAATGATTCGTTGTTGTTGTTTGTTGGTGTTTAAAAAAGGTTACAAATTTCGATGATAGCAATCACTTTGGCATTCGTTTTTTTGTGATTGTTTGTTGTTGTTTCTAATTAAATGATAACAATTATCGAGAGCCTGCCGAATTCATGATCCAATAAATTAATGGATCATATGATTTGTTGATTTTTACAAATTGTTTTCTAAGAAAAAAAATCAAAATCTTCTTAATTACAATTCGATTTCTATTTCGACAAAAAGATCAAATTCTTAAATTTTAATCAGCTCAGAAGAAAAAAAATCATATGAATCAATGACATAAGTCAAGATTTATTTTTTCTTAAGAAAAATATAAATAAATCCAGAAGAAAAATATATTAAATAGCAATACATTTATTACAAACAATCATCAAAGACAATAAATGCCCGACAGACAAATCGCCACTCACCAAAAAAAAAAAAAAAAAAAAAAAAAACCCCCCCAAAAAAAAAAAAAAAAAAAAACCCACAAATAGTGGGTGTATTAAAAAAAAAACCCCCAAAAAAAAAACCCCCCCCCCAAAAAAAAAAAAAAAAAAAAAAAAAAACTCATCCACATAAGAAGCACAGTGAAAAAGCGCATAGTACGCCAAATAAACACGCCGTTCATATCTGTTCATAAATATCGTATAATATTGTTAATTATAATCAAAAAATTCATAATAATTAAAAATTCTTTATCATTATTTATCTGCTATAATCTATTATCGATTAAGATTTGTTTTCGAAACCAAATTGATTAAGCTTTAAAATTGGATTAAAGTAACAATGATCTTGGATTATATTATCAATAAAGGTTGATTAGTTCGATCAATAGATGGCGTTTGTTTAAAAAACATTTTTAATCCAAAAAAAGAATTATAATAAATCGCGCCAAATTTAAATGTTAGGAAGTTTAATTCAAAAAAAAACTTGAAATGATCAGAATGTTCGTTGAAAAAACTTTGAACAATTTGATAGTATTATGGTTGTATTATGTCCGTAATTAGATGAAAAGAAAGGAAACAAAATTTCGACCAAATTGAAGACTTTTTTAAAGTAGAATCGTATCGCTTGGCATCATTGAGATGAAATTATCTACAAATAAACGATAATATGAAGACAAAAATATGTCAAAAAAAGAAAAAGTAGGAAAAAAAAATATCGAGTATTAGCATCACAATATTGTTATATTTGTCTGATTACCTGATGACATGATGATGATAACTTTTTCATCCATCATGGTATTATCCTCATCATCATCATCATCATCATTATTCAAATCATCACCGATATCACATCAAAAAAAAGGAAAAGACAAAAATCAACCTAATCGACTATATTCATCCATCCATGGATAAGATCACGTGAATCAATCTAATTCAATTATCCGGTTTTGGGATTTTCTTTTCTTTTTCTTTCTTTCTCTTACTCAATCTATCCGTTAACAAGTGTAATCCATCATCAATTCAATTGATAATTTTATGATTTTTTTTTGTTGAAAATTGATATCCAATGATGATGTATAATTAGAGCTGTATTGATGATGTGAATAATCAATTTTATTTGGCTTTGCTTGTATCATCTTCTTCAAAATAATCGATGATGATGATCAAGGCGGTCAGTAGAAAACAGAAATCGAATACAGTTATTGCCACCAATTATCGATCAGATCAGATTGGCAAAAATTGAAGATCAAAAATTATTATAATGAGGTGAGAATTAATTGAATGAATAACACAGATTGTACAATTTCTTCCTTAACACGTAATTTTTTTTTCGTAGAAAAAAAAGTTAAGTCATTATACAACAGCGTAGACAAAATTATCATCATCATTCGTGTGTCCATTTATCATTAGATGATTATAACCTGTTACAAAAAAGCAAAAGAAATAATTATAGAAACGTGTGCCACAATCCTACATGATGATCATGATGATGGTGACAATCATCGGTGACTATCGTTATCATCATCATTTTTTTATGAAGAAAGAATGAAAGAAACAAAAAAGCGTTAAAATAATTAATATAATTAGTTGTCTCGAATAATGAAAAAAATTTGAATTTTATGGATTTTTAGCACGCGACTTTGTGGCTCATCATTTGATAAAACCGAGTGGGGGAGGGAAGCGAGAGGGGGAGGAAGAAAATCCAATTAATTATTGATTATTAGATTGGGTTATACAGCTTCTTGTTGCCTGATCACGTATATTGGCCACTTTTTGTTTTTTTGGTCAAATTCGTGATGACCTCGACGACTATGACAGGTCTACAGGATTATTATTGTTGTTGTGGTTGTTGTATATGGCAATTCACATGGAGACATCTCCAATTTCTTAATCTTGTGGATTGATATTTTTGAAAACGACACATTGAACTATCATCATCATCATCATCATCATTAACAACTTTTTTTTCTTTTAAATTCAATCACGATGACCATGTTTTAAATGATAATCAAAAGAAGAAAAATTAATGCCATGATCATGATGGAATCATACAATGATGATGATCATCACCATTATTGATGATGATGATGATAAACACACATTAATCGATTTTTTTTTTTTTTTGATGAAAAACTACCGAAATTTTTGTTTTTTTAAAAGAAAAACCCAAGGTGGAACATCGAAATTGTAATATTTTTTTGTTTGTTCTCGAAAAACAACAACGCCCGAATTCAAAATAATTCGAAATCAAAATTGACAATTCGTTCGAATGAAAATGATGATGATGATCAAAACAATCGAAAACGAAAATAAGAAAAAAAAAGCTGACAACAACAACAACTATAGTATCGAGGCGATGATGTCCAAAAATAATAATGATGATGTGATCATACCGTATGATGATGATGATGATGATGATAGAATGAGATCATCATCGGTGAAAGTAAAAAAAAACAGGCAGCCTGTTGTTTGGATCGAATCGGTTTGCCACAATCATCATCATCACCATCAAACATCAGTCAAGCTATCATCATCTTGGATGATGATGATCATCGTCAGCTAAATGACAAATAGACGATATATATTGTGCTATATCCATCATCATCATCATTCGGTTTTTTTGGCCATTATTATTATTATTTCAAAGATGTGTCACATTATGTTGTGTGTGTGTGTGTGGGACACTTTTTTTCGTCGTTGATGATGATCAGTTGGTTAATCCAAAATTGGGCAAAAAAAAACTCGAACCAAATTACATTATGAACGAACGAAAAAAAAATGTTCCGATTGTCAACACAGAGATTCATTTTCTGGCCCAATTGGTCGAAAAATGATTATTAGATTGGTAGTATTTTCATTCATTTTGGTGTGAGAAAAACAACAAAATAAAAAGTGAAAGTGCAAGATTGAAAAGAAAGAGAATCTTTATTTTTTTTTTGTTTCACATCAAATCACATCACATAATAAACATCGATTCAGGATTTGAAAACAACAACCGTTGATGTTTTCGTTGTCGTTGTTGTTGTTGTTCTCTTCAATCATCATCAACAACCATAATAATAATAGAAGAAAACATCCATGCAATATTGGATTTCTCTTCTTTTTCTTCATATCTTTTCTTCTTTAATGCAAACCATGCCATGCACTTAATTCGTTGACGTTCGAAGATGATACAACCTTATGTTCATTTTGAATTTTTCCATACCACACTACAGATGATAATTTGAGCAAAAAAAGAAAGCGACAAAAAAATAGTAGCCAAATATTCAACACCTGGCCAAAAATTGTCACCAAATGTGAATTGTTTATTTAAAAAATGTTTCATTTCTAAATCAAAAATCATCAACCGAATCGTCAAACAAACGAAAATCGATTGGTTTTTTATCCGAAAAAAAAGGATTTATTTTTAAACCCTTTGAAACCAACTGCAGCATAACCATTGTGTTTGTGTATATGTGTGTGTGTGTGTTTGTCTTTTTTCATAAACATCCTGGTCACTAATAAATCTTTTCTTTTTCTTTTTCTTCATTGAACTAATCAAATCTCTTATAATTGTCATTGTGAACGTGTTTGAATTGTGTTTGTGTGTTTGGCTTTGTTTTTTTTTGTTGGCCAGCCAATAGACCTAATCACACCAAACAGAGACAAATCAAAGAGTTTGATAAAATTAAAAACAAAACAAAACAAAAAAGTTGATTTTATTTGAGAGAAAATTCAAGATATCAATAATTTCCAGGGATATAAAACCTCGATTGATTGTTGATTTGTGTGTTTTTTATCGAATCAGTGTGGCTACATTCGTGTTAATCTTTGAATTATTTTTTTTTTCGTTTCAAACTTTTTAATTATTAATTATACGTTTTGGGCATTATGTATCGGGTAAGTTTTTTTCCCTTTCGTTGATTACTTATTTCATCAAACCAAAATTAAACTTTTTTTTTTGCTTGTTTCCAACCCTTTCTCCACCCACTCATGTATATATTTTCTTAATCCACATATCTGGTCTACTAGTTATTATCGACGGTAGTGATTGCCGTTTTATTACCTGGTTCATTTTCGCAAGCTTTTGCCGTTCCACCACCATTAACCGAAGGTAATGATGCAGAAACAAATCGTGTTCTTGAACAATTTATATGGCAAAAAATTATTGGTGCACCAACTGATCCAAAAAAAGCATATCAAGAATTACGATCATCATTGGATTCAATTTCAAAACAAACTAATCTAGGTGATCAAATTCGTTTACCTGAATCATTGTATATGTTAGGTAAATCAGTTATGCAACCACGATCAATAAGACGTCGATCATCATATGCAACTCCAACATCAAATGAATCAACAACGGCCATTCTGTCTACATCGGAAACAAGCCCAAGTGGACATAGAATTTTTAGTCATTACAGCAATCCAGCTACAACCAACAAATATATTCCAGAATTTGGTGCTAAAGAATTGTATCAATTAGTTGCACCAATGGCTGGTGATCCGGATAAAGAACAGCCACAATTACCACTTCCACCACAACCAACACAATCAACAATACAAGAAAACAATAATAATGACAACAATCATGATCAAAAACAATTAGATGATGGTCATCAACCACAACCATCATTTAATAATCGTCGTATAATCGATCAAATAAATGGACAAATATCTGAACATCAGGAAATATTACGTAAATATCCATCTAAAAAAAGAGGTTATAAAGAAATGCAACAAGATGGAAATAGTATTTTAGCTATACGTAAATATAACCGGAAAGCAGTGAAACAACAATCATCATCATCACAACGACATGCAATTTCCAATCAAGAATTGGATAAAGAAAACAAACCAAAACAAGAAATTGAACAGCAACAACAACAACAACAACAACAGATTACCGATTCGACATCGATCAAAGGTAAAAATCATGGCCATCAACAAGCACAATCACAATCGATTTATGATTTTTTACCAATGCCATCATATGGACAGCTTAAAAATACAATACGACCATATGGTGGATTTGGTAGTGATAATTATGGTAATAATATGATTGGATCAACAAATTATATACCATCATCACCAGCCAATCAATTAACATCATCATCATATGAATCAAAACGAACATTCGAAATGAGACCAATGATGGATTATAAAGGATCAGATCAAATGGAACAATATCCTGAACAACAACAACAACAACAACAACAATATGGACCAATTGAACCAACATCACAAACATTAGAACCACAAATTATTGATGTAGTACCGGATGAACAACCAATACAAATTGTATTTCGTTCATCATCGGCTAAAGTAAATGTTAAACAAGTACATACACCAATACCATATAATGAAGTTGAAACAACCAGAACTGAAGAAAAACCACAACGTGTATTACATCAATTAGTTAGACCTATTATACAGGAAGTTATTGAAATAATTCAACCATATAGACGTGTTACACAAGAAATAAGGCCAGTTCTTGAAGAAATTCGTACTGTAGTTGCTAAACAAGCTGATACACAACAACGTATTCATAAAGATCGTTTAGGTAAAGGAAAAGGATCGAAAAAATGGTAGTAAAATTATACCAGGAACCAATGCAGACGGAATGAATAAATGTAAACAAACAAACAAACAAATAAAAGAAAAACAAACAAGAAGGAAGCGTACAAATCAACAATTGTCCATCACTAAACGAAAAATAAAATATGAAAAACATAAACCCAATATCCGGATAAAAAACATCATCAACATATATTGTCGTCCACTTACATTTTTCTCTATTTCAACAACAACAGCAGAAAAAATTTTTGTCATTTTGAAAATCATTTTCATTCAATCTTATAGAGACAACAATACATGATGTCTATTTTTTCATTCACATACCAAAAAAAAAAAAAAAAAAATGATGATGATAATGATGACCAACCGATTAAATCGATCCAAAAAAAAATATTATTTACATAAAGAAAAACAAACACAAATTATGGCCATATATCTATCCGGGATTTTCTGATATTTTTTTTTGTTCTTCTTCGACTATTTCTACATCATCATCATCGTTGTATTTTTGTTTTCTTGATTTTTTTTTAAATAACTGTTTTTTTTAATCTCACTTTTTAAATCCAATAGTATTTTATGGTATTATTCTCATCTTCAATCTACAATCATCATCATCAGCATTATCATCATCATCAACAACAACCCTTTTAAATCATCATAATCATTATAATTCACAAATGTATTCATTCATTCATTTTATCTTTTATCATTTTTATATAAAAAGTGATTAAAAAACCCAATAATTAATTAATATTTTAATTAAAAATGAAAAAAAATTCATCTTTTTCTTCGCTGTCTAATGAATATGATAATTATATATGAATTGCTCGTATAAATAGACAATGTTTGGGTAGTTTTGATGATGATTGAGATTAGACAAAAAGTTGATTAGACTTTGTTTGTAAAATCGTTTATCTTTTTTTTGATTGTCATTTCAATTCATTTTCAATATGGTCTCTGTTTCTCTCTCTCTCTCTCTCTCTCTCTCTCTCTCTCTCTCTATCGATTTCAATGTTTCAGGATAATGATTAGATTATAATTGGTTTTTCTTTTCTTGTCTTGTTTCGATTGAATCATATCGATCACTTTTTCTCATCGATTTATTTGTTGGTTTTGTCTGTTTGTTTGTTTGACTTTTGGGATTTCAACTTGGAAAAAGAAAGAAGAAAATAATTCAAAAAAGAGATTCAATTTGAACTTAATCTACAGCGACAAACAAACAAAAAATGATCTTAATAAAAAATCAACTTGAACTTCAATGTTTTTCATAATTTTTCTTTCTTTCTCAAAAATCCATGGATCTACTTTTTAAACAAACAAACAAACAAAAAGAAATGAAAAAAGATTTTATTTCAATTTCCTGGATGAGAATTCCGTCTTATATGAATGGATTAAGGGGAAAAAAAACCTGGATACATTTCTAAATTAAAACGTGTTTTGAGGATTTAAAACGAAAATCAATCAATCGATTCTCAGAGAAAAAAAAATTGAAAAACTCATCATAATTGTGACGAAATAATAATAAAAAAAATGGTGTGAATGAATGAAAAAAAAATGTTCTGGTTATTTCTTTTCGTTACCGTGCACGCAAAAAGTGTGGCAACTAATAATATTTTTAATGCGGAAGCTATTTTGATGCCTGTAATTTTGTTTTCTGTAGCTGTTCCTGTAGTGTCCAATTTTTTTGGAAATTTAATCGACTGACAATCGTCGTTGGTGATGCGGACATTCAATGAATATTATTATTATTATTATTATTATTTTCGAGAAAAAAAAAATGAATAAAGAAATTGTTGATCATCGAATATCACTGATTGTAAAATGATGGTCGAATCCATAATTCCAATTGGTCCAATTATCTTTTAGATGATGATGATAATGATGATGCTAAAATGCATCAATTTTGTTTATAGTAAACACGTGATGCATATTTGATATGATTTTCATTCGATTCGAATTGAAAGAATCGATTTGGATGGATTTTGTTTGTTTGTGTGTGTGTGTGTGTGTTTTGTATGTCAAACAAACAAACAAACAAACAAACAAGCAACACACATAAATGGTCAATATAAAACACATAATCAATCAATCAATCGATGACCAACCATTACCATTATCATTATTTTATTTTTTTTCCTTGAATGAATAACAAAAAGAAAAGAAAATCGTTACAATCCATTTTTCTCTTTGATGATATATTTTAAGTCAAATTCAAATCGATAACAAATTATTATCCATTATGTTTGTTTCATATTTTGTTTATGGCCAACAAATTGATGCTCGCTTTAAATAATCGTTATTATAATCATCATCATATTATGATGATGATGAGATAATTCCGGTCTTGATGGTTTTGTTAGATGGTGGGGGGGATAGTTTGTTTGACTTGATTCTTATATGAAAAAAAAATTTCCAAATTAAAATCACCAAAAGGATGACAGGTCAGTATGGATGAAAACAAAAGAAATTGTCGCAATTTTTTTAATATTAAAATTTTTTTTTCGTTTTAGTTGTTTGGTTCCTGGATTAAATAATCGCCTTATGATTATATGGGCATTAAAGGATTTTAAAACGAAAAAAAAATAATCCAGTTTGATGACACACATGATGATGATGATGTGAACGACCGAAATCCATATTGTCTATTCGTCGATTATGACAATTAATTTAATTTTCTTTTTCTTTTTTCATTCATTCATTTTTCAATAATCCATTCGTGTGGTGAGTATTTTAAAATTTCTCTCTCTCTCTCTCTCTCTTGAAATCTCACACAAACTGTTTCACTTTCACTGTTCTTTAACTTTTTTTTTTTTGGCCTATTGTGTTTTTCATTGTGTTTACAAACCGTACATATATAAATTGATTCAATTTGATCAAACACACCAACCATAATAATAATTCATCATCATCATCATCTATCAATCATTAGCCCGATTGACATATCTTTCTCTGTCTCTGTGTGTGTGTCTCTGTGTATTTGTGACTTTTTTTTTGATCAATTCGATAAATCGATAAATCAAATTTTTCAATCGAAAAGAACAAAAAATGATTCGTTACGTATTACAATCATCAATCATTTGTTTGATAATTTTTTCTATTCAAATAAATTTATTAATGGCAACCGTACAAATACAATTAGAATCTATGCGACCATCACCGACATCGTCGTCATCTTCATCATCATCATTATCGAGTTCATCAAAACCGTTAACATCAGTATCTTCGTCACCATCGTCGTCGTCGTCGTCGTCGTCGTCATCGTTGTTGTCCAGTTCATCATCTACATCGAATGCATTAACATCCGCCAATACAATTCTTGACAATCATTCAACCGAAATTCTTGATCCATCAATTCTTTATGGTGGTGTTTTTAAAACATCACCAACAACTAATTCAATTATTCATTCAACTTTATCATCATCAGGTATTTCATCATCAAATAATGGTAATATTAATTCGAATTTGGCACAATCTATTCATCGTCAACAACAACAACAACATCGTCATCTTCAAACACCATCATCATCGAATATACCCGGTAGTTCATCATCAACATCGGATTATATATTTCAATTATTACCACAAAATGAAAATATTGTTTCACATAATTATCAAGGATCAGGTATGAATCAAGAAGAATTATATGAAGAGAATAGTATTATGTCACATCGTGCACCAATATATTCAACGGCAATATCATCGAAAAGATCATACGAAGTAAAACCAATGGTTATTGAAAATCAACCAGTTGAACCTTCGGTTGTTAATGTTGATGGTTCTGAACAACCGGTCAAAGTTATTTTTCATACTCAATCAAGTCCAATGATGGTACGTCAAGTACATACACCACGTAAACCTGTTGAAGTTGAAAGAACCAATTCAGTTGATGAACCACATCGTGTTGTACATGCAGTTATGCGACCAGTTATTCAAGAAGTACGTGAAATTATTCAACCATATCGTCGACTAACGCAAGAAATTCGTCCAGTACTTGAAGAAATTCATACAATCGTTTCAAAAGATGAACGATCCGAACAATCAGGATCAATGCAACATTCTGGTATGAATGGATCTCCTCCTGCCATGTCATATGCTTCATCAAATCAACAGATTCAACGTTCACCACCGCAATCACGATACAATAATCGTATAGTTGATTTAGGTGCCAATGATAATGGTAATTTAATGGCTAATACTCAACCATCAAATGGTTATCGTCATCGAGATATGATGGTTCCAATGCATTCAAACAATGCTATTAAACTAATTCGAATGAATCGTGATTATGGACAAGATTATAATGCTAATAATCAATTGTATGCCATTCTTAACGAACAATTTGGCCAACAATCATCCACAGGACAGACAACATCCAATTCTGCGACCAATGGACCACCAATTTTGATGGCATCAGGATCATCATTAAATTATCGTCAACAGATGTCACCACTACCATCCAAACAAATTTCGAATACATCAAACAGTGTATTTGGTGATATTCCAATTGAAACATTATTTAATTTGAAATTAAATCGTAATAAAAAACCACGAACACAACGATTTTAGTTGATTATTAATGATTCAAATAGTGCATACATTTACATTTATTATTATATTATTATTATTCAAATTTGAGCTTATAATTTTCAAAAAAAAACATTTATTTTTTAAAAAAATAAAATAAAATTTCTTATTAGCCATTACAGCAACTATTGCCATCTGATGTTGAAATTGCAAAACAAAAATTCTACTTTTATTTTCAAATGATGAATATCCGCATATTCATCAAACGATGGTCAATCAAAGTTTGTGTGTGGTATGATCTTATTAAATCATAATATAATCGTGATCATCGCATTTACACTTTGACCTCATCATTATTATGGTGAAACAAATATTTCGATATGAATGACCTAGATCATTGTAATTGATTGATTGATTGACATCACCGGATCCATTTCATTTCATTCATTATTTTTCATTGACAGATTCAATGTTTTGTTTTGTTTAAACTAATCGAATTAAATTGAATGGAATTTTCATTTTCAATTTATTCGCCTGCCAATTTTGCTTGAAGCGTTGATATTTTTACACTACTTTCAAAACAAAACAAATGCAGGAATGTAAAAGAAAAAATATTACAAATACTGATTTTAAATCAAGGCCATTCAATTCTTTTTTGTTCAAGCTCCATTATTCGACTATTTAGACTTAATGAAGCATTCATTTCATTTTTTTTTGTTGTTTAGAATACCATATCGACCCAAGATACAAGGTTAAAAAGGGCCATATTTATGCCTAATGGCCATTAATTACAATCTAAAACAATAGAGAAAAAAAAGTAATTAATTTTAACCAAGTTTTAATAAATAAATAAATCGAATTGCACTATATTCGCAAGGCATCCAAAATGGACAATATTATTATTATTTCGATAGAAAAGGGTTGAAATAAAACATGTTATTTGGTAATTAACTTTTATAACGAACGTTATATCTCTGTCTCTGTTAATAATGTTTAGGACGAGATTGCCTTATGGTCGCCCTATATTTCACATCAAGGATTCAACGATTATCATCATCAAACGATCAACAAGACAATTACCTGATCCATATCAATGAAACAAAAACAACAACAAAAAAAGTGACACAACAAGATTTTGGATTAAATCGAATGTAGCAAACAAATTTACAAAAAAAACAACCATCCATTCAAAATGCTGATAATTCGATTAATTACAATGATAATGATAAAAGATAAAAATCTTTTTTTTCCCGTCCATCATCATATATGATGTGAATTGATGGATTCGATTTTTGTTTTTTTGTGTTGATGAATGGCATTCACAATCCAAAAAAAAAAAAAAAAAAACATCATCATCATCACAACCACACAATGATCCATTTGAACATTTGCGTATTTGAAAGTAAACTTCCAAATCAGATTCAGATCAATTATCATGATTTTTTGATGTTGATGTTGTTGCTGCTGTATTTACATCATTAAATCCAAAATCAAAATTGTTTTCTTTTTCTTCTGTAATGGAGCCCTATAGCTATAATAATATTGGTGGTGGTGATGGTGGTATTTTTCTTTCATTTTCCAATGTTGAAATAGAGTTGTTTTTTATTCATTTTTTTCCCCAATTAATGACGATTAGCTTTTGATTCTTTTGAATTTCAATTTTTTTGTTTTGTTTCCCCTCTTCTATTGATTGATTCATTCACATTCCTATGGGCTTTTTTTCGGGATCTATTTCGGTTTTTTGTTTGGTTTTCTGCCCATCGGCTATTTCATATTAAATATCAATGGTGGGACCACCAATAATACTGCAGTTTTTTTCGGAAGAAAAGGGGAAAAAAATCATTGAACATTTGAAATTGCTAATTGGTTAGATGAGTAGCGGTATGTTTTTGGCTGAAATTCCATTGAGTAATAATATAGATTATCATTCGATGATGATGATGATGATAATGATTGATCCAATTTACACACGAAAAAAAATTAAGATGGAATGCCAATGGGCAATATTATCTTTTCGAAACAACAACAACAACAAAAATCTATAAATAAATCATTCATTATCGATATGATGATGATGATTGATGATTGAATCAATGATGAGTTTATTGTTTATCAAATCGAATCCTGAAACAAATCAAAAATCAAAAATCAAAATTTTCTTTGATTTTGTACATTGATTTGGCCTGAAACATTATTAATTGTTTTTGGTTTTGTCTTTATTTCAATTAAATTCATTTGATAATCCGTTTTTTTATGCAGTTCATTTCCTTGATTCCAAATAATCGATATAATCGATATATCGAATCTTTTTCGCAAAAAAAAAACTAAAATGAAAATGTCCAATTGGCAAACAAGATCCATTATGATGATGATGATCATTTCATCATTTTTTTTCGATAGCCAATTAGTAAGAGAACAAGAACAACAACAAGAAGAAAACAACCTGGAAATGAATTAATGATGTTTTTGAAGATAATAAATTTTTTTGTTGTTGTTGTTGTCTTGTATACAAACCTGTAATGTGTGTAATATAGAAACACACACGAACCGGACGAACTGGCTAATCAGAAAGCAAACAAACATTATTATTTTATTAGATAAGAAAGTAAAAGTGAGATAGAGAATGAGAGAGAGAGCTCAAATATGTCACGAAATGATCATCAAAAGCTTGTTTTTTCAAATGAAAAACAAAACTGGCTTCCATGAAATAATTCATTAAAATTGGTGGTGGTTTTTCTTTCATTTTAAACCGAATAGGAAGACGAAGATTGAAAGAAAAATCAAATGAAATTCGATCATTTATTTTTGAAAAGAAAAACATGCATGGTTAAAAAGCCTATCATCATCATCATCATCATCATGATTATCATTTTAAAATTGTATAAATTATCAATGATATCCGGTAACCCATCAACATTCGTTTTCAATCAATTTAAACATTATCACTTGATCACAAAACCATGTGAAAATCGAAATACGATTGACAATGATTTTTTTCGGATAGAATTCCATAGGGTAGAAATGAATCGAATGAATGAAAAAGAAGAAGAAAACATTTGACATGATGATTATGATTTGATCATTGATTTTACCGAAAATATCCGGTTTTTTTTGAAAACAAAACAGAAAAAAATTGTTGTTTGAATAGAATGGCTACTGATTCACATTATAAGCTTTTAAGTTGAATAATGAGGCAATTTTTTCAACAAAAAAGAAAAAAATATCAAGGAATGAACATCAATCAATCAAATAAACAAACAAACAAACGAAAAAAAATCGAATGTTTACATATAAACATAATGATGAGGATGATAATGATGGACGCATGTATCGATCAATCGATTTTTTATTTTTCATTTTTTTTTTTCGTTCGATTTCGATGATCATCGAAATCGGCTTTTTATTTATAAAAATTGTTATTATTATTCACATTATGTATCTTTTTATCAAAAAAAATGGATCCACCGAAATTATTTACTTTGCCAAATGTTTGTGTATGTTCAGAAGCCGATTATTTGAAGTGATCTAGTTTTTTTTTTCTAGAAAATTTTGGCACTGTTATACTCAATTGCTATTAGTATCGGGGCAAAATTTTGATGGTTGTTGTTGTTGTTGTCCAGCAATATTAAAATGGCAAGCAATGGTCATCACTCAACGAACTCATCATCATCATCATGGTCGGCAATGTTTTTCATTTATTTATTTTTTCGTTGTTGGAGGCTGTGAGAAAATATTTTTATATTTTCTTTTTGCGAAACGAACATATTCATAAACAAATTAATGGATTGTCCACATCAACGAACTGATAATCGGTAGTCAGAGAAAAAAAGAAAAAAAATTGCTCCAATTTTGATGATCATTGAACATTGCTTGGATGGTTATGGGTCAGATAAAATTAAATTAATGAATCAATGATGAGCATAAAGAAATTAAAAGAAAAATAATAACAAAATTACAATTAATCGATTTGATCATTTCGAACGATCGGCTCAAGTTTTGACTATTTTTACCCAATGTGTATTTGTTTACTATTTTTTTTACTCTTCTCACAACCGCCAACATTATCATTTATTTCATTTTACCGAAACAAAAAAAAAATCTTCATTATTTTCATTCAGGGTTGAAAAATAAAATCAATCAAGCTTTGTTTAAATATTATCTGTAAACATGATAATCTTTTCCGTTTTCAGATAGATCTTTGTTTTTTTATCTTTGTTTGTTTTGACTTTTTTTTTTGGCAGGATTTAAACATCATCATCCTAATCCATATCAAAGCCCAAAAGAGATTTCATTGAATGAAAATGAATTGATCGAATGAATTTCGGTTTTTTTAAATTTAAACGAAAATCCGTAAGTGAAAATCGAGAAAAGTCTGTAATTTCGAAACAAAATGCTGAATAAATGAATAATTCACAAAAAAAAATTGATAAAAATCTTTACACCTGGTATTAAAGCTTTTCTTTTCCTATTTCAATCCATGATCATCATCATCATCATAATTCAACAACAATGGATCAATTTTCAAATGTGACTAAAATAACATTGGAATGAATGTATTGTCAACACGTGGAATCTTTTTTCTTGAAAAAATCCAAAAACGTTTTTTGAATTTTGGCCATGTCATCATTTTAAGGACAAAATTATGAATAATCAAATTTAAAATCAAACAAATCAACACTTTTTGAAATCATAAGATGATAAATCAGATTGAAATTACGTCACATTTTAAAGATTTTTTTTTTAATTAATTAAAATGATTATTATCGATTTGTTGACAACAACAACAACAACGACGAAACAAATTTCATAACATTTTTTCAAGAAAAAAAAAATGATGATGATTTGGATGTGTGGAAAGAGAATTCAAATTGATAATTATCAAGTAAAGTAAAGTGAAAAAAAAATCAAAAAAAAAAAGATCGAAATCATCATCATGAATTTGTTACGGATTTGGAAATTCCAGCCATAATTTTATTGTGAAGTTTTTTTTTATTGGAAAACCAAATCATAATAATTTTGTTGTTACCCACTTTTTTTTTCACTATATATATTTAGTGAAAGTGCTTCAAGCTTATTTCATTTGAATTTCAAATGAAAATAAGCCAGAAAAAAATAAAATAAAATCAAAACTATGCGAAAATATTTTAATCAATATCCTTAAATTGGCAGCCATCAAAAGGAAAGAAAAAAAATCAAATCGATTCGTTTCGATTGGATAATCGAGTATCCAAATTTAGATCATTTTGATATCGGTACTCTCCTTCTCCCTCTCTATCTCACTATCTTGCTGAAATTTTGCCTCAAGATTCTGGGCGTCGTATACCTGAATGTTGAAGATTTTATTTTTTCTTTGGAGAAAAAATCATATCAATATTATGATGATCATCAAGGACATTTGTCAAAGTTATTCGATGCTAATCTCAGTTTGTAAACGATGATAATATTTTTGATTTTGAGACATTTTTTGTTTTGTTTCAAAAGAAGAAAAAATCTTCAACAAAAAACTCAATTAACCCGAACAATCGTTTGATGATGAAATCCATAAATAATACATGACATCCAGACACACACAAACACACAAATATTTTGATTGATCGAATATATTTTACATTGATCATCATCATCATCATCATGTTCAAGATCAATGCTTGTTTGTTTATTGTATTCAATCAATGTTGTTGTTGTCGTTGGATCATCCATTCAATGTGATTCAGTTTTTTTTATTAATTTGTTAGAGGGCGATTCAATGACGCATTGCTTTCATTTTTTTTCTTCTAAGAATTCATTAGAAAAATTAATGAATGAAGAAGAAGAAAACCTTGCTTTCATTTTCCATTGATCAGATATCAAACATGTATCAAACGCAAGCCTTGATTCTTAATTCAAGAAATCAAAAGCATTCTACATCTACCATTTGCTAAAATCTGTTTGTGGAATGTCTTATGAAAATGGTTTCAGATTGAAACAAAATTCAAAGCAAAATATCGAATTTTTTTTTTCTTCTCGAAAAAATCAGCTTATAATAAATGGATCAAAAAATGAAAGAAAGAAAAAACAAATGGGTTAAAAAAAACCTAAATCATCTAAATAGATAAAGCCATTTTATCCAAATTTAAGTAATCTTAACAATTTCGATCAATGGAAAAGGTTTTTTGTTTTTTTTCGTTTGTTGAAACAATGAATAAAGTTGATGGCCATAAGCAATTTTGTTTTTTTTGTTTTGTTTTTCGTTGATACGGTGCCATACCTGTAATCAAAGTTTTGTTTTATATATGATGAGATGGATAAAAGTGTTTTGAATGAATGAATGAATGAATGATTAAACAATACACACTTGAATCTTTTTTAATCTTTTTTTTTTGTTGAAAATCTTTTTGGTCGATCTTATATCGATTGGATTTTAATGTTTGTGTGATGTATGTGTGTGACCGATTGTTCTAAATTTTGAACCGGTTAGTTTCCTGAAAATTAAAGATAAATGGATTGAAGAATTCGCTTTGTTTTTGTTTCTGAAGAGAAACTATTCGATTCGATTAGGATCATCAGCCATCATATTTTGTTTTTTCGGGTAAAATCCACCAAACACTTGACACATTTGTAGATTGGTTTATCCATTATTCACAATAGATGATGATAATGATGATAATGATAATGGCTTTGATGGTAAAAGCAGCTGTCTGTTTTTTTTCGAAGGCAATCATCAATGATGAAGATGATGAAGATATGTAATGTACATAATAATAATTAATAAATAGCCAATGGCCATTTATCGATTCATCTGCATATATTTGAATGTGCTACAGTGCAGTGCTACATTATGTATGATGATGATGATGAAATTAGAAGTTTTAGCAAAGTATTTTAGCAAGGTAAATAATAGTTTTCACTCTCGGTTTTTTTTCTGGCTCGCATTGATCAAGAGAAAAAGAAAGAAAGAAAAAAAAGTAAAATCATTTCATTTCATTTCGATAAACAAACATTGAGATTTAGGTCAACCAAGATGATGATGCATTAATACCGTACCTGTGTGTTCCATTCATTCATTCATTCATTCATACAGACGATATGCAAACACGATGGAATTTTACATTGGTTTACAGTCAAACACCATTTCTTCATCATTTGATGCAATGGATAACCAGCTAAAGAGAGAGAGAGAGAGAATCATCAACCAGAAGTAACAGGTTTTTTCTTTCTTTTAATTTCACCATCGTCCATTATCAAAAGATCTATCATTATTATGATGATTATGATGAAAATGAACTTGATTCATCATTGAACAATTTTATTGTTTTTTTTTTCTTCAAAAAAAATCCGATCCAATTCGTTTCATTTCATCAGCAGCTATCGAGTACCGACGAAAGACGGTCTTATTTTTGGATTTTTTTTCCATATGTTTTTTGAAATTTTGTTTGATGAAACAAAAATCAAATGACACTATCCTGTTTTCTATGATATGTATGAAAACAAAAATCCAGTTCTCTCCCAGCATATAACTTGATAAATCAAATCGATAATTATCAGATATTCGGATATTAAAAACATACTTGTAGCGGTGATACTATAAAATGCTGATTTTGTGGATTACGAAATAAACTTTTTTTTAAAAAAAAACATGGTAAAATTTGCCCGAAACAATTTTTCGAATTACATCCGCTGATAACTGTCTATTTTTTTCGTTTTCGTTTTTAGTTTATTTTCACCACCATCGGGCTAAAAGGGCGTCAGGGGAAAAAAACTTGATGATTCGGGTAAACTTTTGTAAATTGGAAATCGATAAAATTAAAAAAAAAATCCGGCGGATATTATTATTATTATTGAATAAAATCGAAAGAGAAATTAGTTGTTTTTTAAAGCATTTAGCAATTAGTGGGAAATCCATCAAATCATGTATGGCCAGTTTTTCCCCCCTCACCACCACCACCACCACCACCACCATCAAATCGATCGTTAAATGCTACCCATGTTTAAGCCGCATCATTATTATTATTTTCGTTTTGTGTTTCTGGAAAGAGAGTGAATTTCTTGAAATCCTATAGGAAAAAGATGCAAAAAAAAGAGAGAAAAAAAGACGGGTACTTAGATGGTTTACTTGAGAATGACTTACTGACTTACTTTTTCTCTCTCTCTATCTCTCACTTGTTCAAATTGAAATTTTTTTTCAAAATAAACACCTGTCCATCTTGTATTCACAATCTTGATCTCAATCTGAATGTTTTTTTGTTGTTGGGAAAAAAACCATCATAAATAATTGAATGATAGATAGAGAGAGATAGTGATGGAATAAAGAAAGTGGAAAAGAAAGAGAAAATTTCTCTTTACTTTTCGTTTTCACATTAAAAATATTCAGATTACGCCTTAATATACATTTACAACAATGTTATATTCTCTTTCTTTTATAAATAAATAAATGTGATTTGTGAATTTTGATAAATATAAAAAGGCGAAAATAAAAAAAAAAATGTTATGGATAAAAACTATTTGAATGTTTTTTTGTTACCTTTAGTTTCGTTGTTGCTGTTTGTTGAATCGAATCATTCGAAAGTGTATCTGTCTGTCCGTCTGTTTTTTTTTTTTTTTGTTTGGTCAACACAAAGAATCATTCATATATAATACATGATCATCAAACATCATTATTTAAAGAAAAAAAATTTATTTCAAAAAAAAAAAATAATAATTCAATCCATTCGTCACGATCATCATCATCATCAACAACAAACAAACAAAAAAAATTTCACTGAATTTAAAAAGTTTCATTCAGGTAGCATCAGCATCAACAATATAACGGATCTCATCAATAAAAATTAAGGTGTGTGTACACTGTGCATTTGGTGTGTGTAGTGTGTGTATATTCAACCGGTGTTTTATGTTTTGTTTTGTTGTTGTTTGATAATTTGTTCATTTTATAATTTCACAATTTATTCTAATCATTCTTTTATTTTATTTTATTTATTTTTTCTTCTTATTATTCGATCATTCATCTCATCGAAATTACAAAAAAAAACAAAACAAAACAATCGGGTGAGTGTTTACCAAAAAAAAAAAAAAAAAAAATTATTCGAATGTAACAGGTTAAAACGATATTTGGGAATGTTTCTCTAATTTTTTTTTGTTGTTGTTTTTGTTGNATGTTTTGTTTGATAATTTGTTCATTTGATAATTTCACAATTTATTCTAATCATTCTTTTCTTTTATTATTCTTATCTTTTCTTCTTGTTATTCGATTATTCATCTCATCGAAATTACAAAAAAAAACAAAACAAAACAATCGGGGGAGTGTTTACCAAAAAAAAAAAAAAAAAAAAATTATTCGAATGTAACAGGTTAAAACGATATTTGTGAATGTTTCTCTAATTTTTTGTTGTTGTTGTTGTTGTTGTCAGACATTTAAATGACTGAAAATATCTTTTTTTTCTATGTTGAATGAAATTTGTAGAAACAAAAGGATAATGTGTTTTAAAATTTGGTCAGCCAACTGTGTGAATCTTTTGTTTTTTCACTGTTTGTGTGTGTGTGACATAATTGATTGACCACCTAATGAAAAAACAATTGGATTAGATTGTTCTGTTGTTGTTGATCCAGGAAATGTTTTGTTTGTTTGTTTGTTTTTCATTTCATTTTATTTATTTATAACCATCAAATTGATTACGGGCACCCAATTTAATTTGATTGAAAAGAAAAAAAAAGAACAGAAAAGAAATGTGTTTTAGTCCATGGTCATTTTTTTTTTGCAAATGTAGCTTGAACTTTTTTTTCCAACAACATCAACAACAACAACAAAAATCCAATAATGAAAGGTGAAGGAAAATGAAGAAATTGATGAATTGATTGAACATAAAAAAATGTTTCCATTATCATCATTATTCACAATCATTAATCCATTCAATTCAAATATCACAAGGACAAATGAGAGCTTAGAGAAGAAGATGAAAAAAAAACTTGCATCATTTCATTTATGAATAGATCAATTTCGAACATTATGAATAGCCTTATGATGATGATGATGATACTGAACTTAAATCTTTTTTTTCCCCCATTATCTATTCCATGTCGAAATGATCAACAACAACAAAAAATCCATTTTTCCCATCATCATCATAATATTGTCCATTGATCAATTGAAATCGAGATCATCGATTTTTGAATTTGTTGTTGGATTAGTTTAAACTAAATGTTTGTTTGACATTATATAACAGACAGATATATTCATTTTTACTCTACAAATAAACAACAACAGCAGATATTTTATTTCTTATTTTTCCATATGGTTACACTCTATGTTGTTGTTGAATGTTGTTCTCATTTAGCCAGACAGAGAAAAAAAACTTGTGTATATCGATGTCATCGGTAAAAATGGCCACCGATACAGTGTTAAACGTTAAAAAAAACGGTTCCAATAACGAACCATACTCTTTACAGATTGATATTGTTGGTGATGCTATAATTAGCTCATCATCATCATCATCATCATCATCATCTTCAATCCATCCATACACCGAAGAAATGGTGAAAAAAAAATAAAGAGTCGAATGTTTTTTTCCCATAAGTGTTTGTTTACCTTCTTCTTTTTTCTTCATCATTCGTATCGAACGACAATAAAGATGTAATATCCCGACATATAAGATTATTGGATCATTTTTTTGGGGTTTTTTTGTTTGTTGGGCGATTTATTTTTTTAAATGGATAATAACGATGTGTCCACGTTGACAAATTTCACTAACTGTCTCTTTTATTTCCCCCATCGGATACATGTATATTCTATGTAGTTTGTTGCTGTTGTTGTTCAATGAAAATATCGATCATGTTTAGATAGTGAAAGAGAGAGAGAAAGAAAGAAAAAAAAAGAGTTGAAAGTAAATGGAAATGGTCATATTATTTTTTTTTCGGTCGTCGTTATATATGGATGATCTTTTCTCATTCTGGTTTATATGGTTATGTTATGGTTGATCGTGATGAAGATGATGATGATGATGAGGATCATCAAAAGACATCAATACTTATATTGCCCATCATCATTTTCATCATCTTTATGATGATGGTTTATTATTATTATTATTATTATTTTTGGTTACTTTATTTTCAAACAACAACAACAAAAAAAAACTACAACATCTTTTTTTTCCGAAAGATATTATTCCCTTTAAAGAATGTAAGAAAAAAGCCTTTTTTTCTCTTTGCTTTTTTTAAAAAATAAAATACAATCCCTATGATGACAATGAGGAGATCATGTTCGTGATGATCGTATGAAACATATGCATACATACCAAGATAGATTGGTCATCTTATTATTATTATTTTTTTAACTGTTACCATTAAACCATAGTGAGAGAGAGAGAGAGATGTCATCTAAATAATCATCATCATCATCAAAAGGAAAAATAAGAATATAGAGTGGTGGTTATATTTATCATCACATGATTTGGATCTTTTTGGTTTGGTTTGCTGTTACTGATATTGTTGTTGTTGTTGTTGTTGATATCATACATTCGATGTTCAATATGATGATGTAATGTGACGATGATAATGATGAGAGAGAGAGATGTTACACTCAATCACAAAGAATAATCATTTACAATATGAAATAATTAATTAATTAATTAATTTTCTTTTCTTTTCTTTTTGTTTTGTTTTTTTGAATAGAAAATCCAATTTGATTATTATGAAAAACATCAACGGATCGGATCGGTAATCAATCAATCAATCAAACAGTTGTTACGACCCGGATAAAATAAAATATAAAAATCATTCTTTTTATATCATCATATTTTTTTAAATACAGATAATTATGTTACGGGTAAGTTTTTTAAAAAAAATTACAAAAAAAGTTTACAAAAAAAAAATTATTCAAAAATATAATGCTCTTATTATGACCACCACCACCACCATTTTTGCTTGAATAATCAATATTTGTTGATGTAAATGTGTATTGTAAACAAAACTAATAATTCGTGGTCTGAACTTGAACCAAAATATCATTACAAAATATCTTCATTTACATATATTTTTGGGGCCAGAGATCTATTGTATTTAAATCGGTTATAATAAACTTTTTTTCTTTAAAAAACTTCAATTTTTTTTTCTGCTGTTATTGTTGTTTAATGATCAATATTAAATGGTTTGGCACACACACAAACACACTCAAAAAATATGATCACCATAATGATGATGATAAGCATGGATGAATGGATAATGATTATTATTATTATTAAGATTTGAATTTCGGTTCCAAAATGTTTGTTGTTGTTAGTTCAAAAAATGAAAATTGGCCACGGATACGGTTCATTTAGCTATATTGGTATTATATGAAGAAAAAAAAATTTGAAATGATTAAAACCATTTAGTGTTGATTATTATTATATGAATGAAATCATAATAATCATCGATAGCTTAACCATAATGTACGCGTGTGTTTGTGTGTGTGTGTCCTTCGATCCGATTATATTTTGTAGGTTATAATTAGAATTATCTGCATTAGGAACATGAAAAAAACGGGACCACAATCGATTCAATGAATGTTTTTTTTTGATTTGTCAGAGTAAAAATTTATTATAATTTTTATCCGGAACACATCTTGATGATTAGATCGATTATTATTGGGCAATCGTTTACAATTCATTTTTTTGTTTAAATTTTTCATCGCTTCAGGCTTTTCATCTATTTGAAAAAAAAGTTTGATCGCTTACAGTCATCATTGATGATGAGAACGTCGCGATCTAGACGCGATAACTATTTTTTTTTTGCGAGCACGATTATCATCAACAAAATTGTAGCCAATATATTTACAAAAAAACTGGATGGTTATCATAATAGAAATATAACGGAAATGTTGAATGATCCAATTGAATTGAGATGATGTGGTTGTGGTGGCCATCATCTACTCATTACCCATGATGATGATGAAGATGATGATGGATTGCTGTACAGCTTTGTAATAACAACTGTGGCATGCGGATGTGGACATTATATTCGAACATTATTTCAGTGTGACAGTGGTAATTGGTAATCGGAAAGCAATCAACATAAATTGTACTGTGTCCACTGACCTCATGATGTGTTTTTTTTTTCGATGACCAATCTAGTTGGCCCATCTGTCCTGCATCATTGATCCTTAATCATTAAAACCATTGATCAAAACATTTTTTTTTGTACAAACAAGTACAAAACAATTCAACATTTAGTTAGACATTAAATAAAGATTGCCCGATGGCCATTAATTTATCAACTGAACTAAATGATACAAATATCCGGATATTGTTTAATAATTTCTTTCTTTATTTTCTTTATATTTTTTCATTTTTTTTGTAACATAAAGATATTGGCCTCATCACTGGTCATGGTAGCGTTGATCGCTTCCAGCCAAGCAAACCTGACACCAGAACAAACCTCAGCGTCGGCAATTGCGGCGGCTGCACCACAATCATCAGCATCAAACGCTTATCCATCATTACAATCATTGTTGGCTGCTAATCCACCACGAGAACAAGTTGTCACATTACCAGCTAGCCAACCATTAAATGCAGCCGCTAGTGGTAATCAAGGATATGGTCAATCATATGGTGGTGATGCTCAAGAATTGGTTGTTCAACATCCAAATCCAAGACGGATTTTGGTTCGTGTAGTAAAACCAATCATTTTCGAGGAACGAATTGTCATCGTGCCATATCGACGAGTTACACATGAAGTTCGTCCAGTCATCGAAGAACGACATACAGTTATCTATGGTAAAGATGGCAAACAAATCTCTGGTCCATCTGGTTTTGCTAAAGAATTGCCAGGTTTGGATAAAGCTGGTACCTATGCTTCAGCCAGTGGTCATTTGACTCGAACTATTGAAAAACCTGTATACGCTGATCCAGTAATTCGAAAGATTGGCTTTTCAAAACGATCAGCATCATGGGATATGGCCAATTTGAGGCCCACCACACAACAAGTACAGCCATCCGATTTGAATCAATATGGTAAACGGGCTTAAAGTGGAAATGATAACCTGGACTGAAATTTTACGGCAAACGGAAAACGACACTCGAGATAATCATCTGACATCAATCGGCCACACAGTTGCCAATTTATTGCAACAACTTTCATAAATGGCCAATCCATACATTGCGATGGTAGCCGCCAATGCTTTTTTTCATCATTTTGCTTTCTTTCTTTTTTTTTGTTTCCTTTTCTCCCTCCTCTATTTTTTTAATTCTTGCTTGTATTTTTTTTTCTTCTTAATGAATTAACTTGGAAATCAACACATATATAGTCTGTCTAGCGATGTGAAAAATATGCATTAAAAAATAATAATAATAATAAATAAAATCCTGCCATATCGATCATTGTTGTTATTGTTTGTTATCCATTGTTACTAATCAATGATTAGAATTGAATTAGAATTGTTCGTACATAAAAACACTTTCATCTTTATGGTGATATTTGCTGCGTGGTTTTAGATTGAATTTTCTTTTCGATATATACAAAAGAAAAGAAATGTTCAATTTTATCATTTTATTTACAATGATGATGAAAATGGCTTTGACCATCAACATTGGTCAAACTATCAACCAAATCGAACAATTCTGTTTTGATGATTCACATCATATTAAAGCTATGTTTATGATGGGTGATTATCTTGTTTTTCGAATGAATACCGAAACATTATATGGATTATATCATTGGAAAAATGGTCATTTATTATCTAGTGTTTGGCATCAACAAGATATATTTGTTAATGTTTCAGCTCAACATTATAATCTTGATTATTTGACCACAATGGATTTATGTCAATTATTTACCTTAGTGTCGCCATCTGTTAATCAACAGACAAGACATAATGGTCCAATTTTTAATGATAATATTGTTCATTCGTTAGCATCCGATTTGCAAAAAATGATTATTGATCCTGATCCAATGAAAGGTGTCAATGATGTGAATAGCCATCAGTTTCGTCAAGTTTCATTGAGCAAGGAGCCTTATGTAGATGACAAAGGACATGGTGACATCAAAACCCAACTAGAAATGTTTGAAGCCCGATTGCGTACTTTTTCCGATCGATTAATACAACCATCGCCTCGATTAACGTCGAAACAATCATCTTGTGGTGGTCAACTTATTGTGGCTACATTTTGCCATTCTCAACGTTCATTCGAGAATGACATATGCCATGACTCAGTTAGCCAAACTGATCAACAAAAATGCTGGCCTAAAACAATGTTCTTTCAATATATTACTAGCGATGATCCTGCCCATCCGTTTCGGCTTTTACCGATTCCGTTCAAGTACAGTCTCATTTCCAATCTATTGTCATTGCGAGGCTTGTTTCAAATGTCTGATCCTCGTCGATTTGTGCAGATATCAAGTAGACTTAGATGTCACAACGATCAGGCTGTTATGGCTCGCACATTGATGGACGTGATCGACTTACATCGCGATGATCTGATTAGCGGTTTCCATCTAGATCAATTTGATTTTCTTCAAAGTAGAACGATTCCCGGTCATCTTGATTATTTAGACTCAACGAAAATCTCTATGGCAGAATTCTTTAATTGTTTTGGCAATTCTTCGGCTATACGACTTCCATTAGCCTTGCAATATGATCACCGACAATCACAACTAATTGCCGATCAGATTGTCAAAGTTACTTCTACTACTGCTGATCCAACTTATGAATCGCCGATAGTCAACAATCTGATTGTCAAAAGTCATTCTCGACGACAATCCAAAAGAAAAATCAAATTTCATTCGACGACCACACAATCGACTGAAATAACAACTTCAGAATTTTCACAGTTCAATCAACGAAAGAAGCGACGATCTTCAACATCAACCGAAATAAACCACAAAAAAGAAATTGAGCAATTTTGGTCAATGGCAACAATTAAAACAACAACCACGTACATTTCTAGTGATAACAAAAAACGATTTGACCAAAATTGGTGGCGGGAATATAATTCTTTTGATATGGAATCAGAAGAAAAACCTGAAACTACAACATATGATGACTATGCAGAAACCGAAACAGATATCTCAACTAAAATAAACTGGTATCAACAGTTCCAAAATAATAATAGATCCAAATTGTTCATCATTATTCTAATAATTATTCTTGTGATAGCTGGATGTTTAATGCGTCTTGGCCGTTCTGAAGCGAAAGAAAAAGACGTCTTTTTTCATCGAAAAAAATCAAGAAAGCATCCCAGTATTCGTAAAAACAAGTCTAAATCTTTCAGTAAAAAAAGAAGTCATCGTAGGGCTTCACGTTTGACTCAAATTAAACAAAATGTACAAATTGATGATCCATTAAAAATGGATCATAATGATCATAATGATATCATTGTAATTGATGTGGAAAAAATTCAGCAATCTAATATGCTTGATCTAACATTAACTAATCGAATTCAAACAATGGTAGATGAATCGCGAATTATTACCAAAATGATGAATCAACCTTACAAGGCTATCTATGATACAGTTTCATCGATTCGAATGTCTCCGAAACCTGAAGAATCACCGCCATCATCAGCTACGATTCGGTCATTATTATCAGAATCACCACCACTTGAGCCGATGATTGAAGCTGGTGATGATGAAAGAATTCATTTTAATAATTCATTAAAACCTGCCATCAATGATCCAATTTATGGGGATATTGATGATAATAATGTCAAAATGATGTACATATTACATCGATTAGCTAAAAGTCTACACGCATCATGATTAGTTTGTTTTTTTTTGCTATTTATTGATTTGATAAAAAAACATTAATAAAAAAATTCCTTGTCAACTAATTCATGCTTATATATTTGGCAAAGGAATTGTGTTCATAAAACATGCTTTTAAGAGTTGTATGCGTGGATAATAAAATATAAGTAAATGTTGATGATTATATTATATATGGAAAAATGTAGGTTTTGGATTTGAAAAAAAAGGTAGATGACATGCAATCAATGATTTTTAACTTCGAAATCGTAATATCCGACCTAGGTATGTTGGCCATAGAATGACCAATGCAGCCAATGCAACTAAAACTACCACGAAAATTCCCCATACTTGAAGATCTTCTAATACACAAGTGGTAGAATGAAGAGCCAGCTTTTGTTTTGGTAAAAATTGTTCGCCATCATCGTCATCGTCTTCCTCATTACTGAATTGATCATAACGACTAATTGATGGCGTTCGTGACATACGAGTGGTCGCTTGTGTGGTCGGTGTATGCGATACAAATGGTGATGATCTACGAGTGAAATTACGTAATCGCTCCTGTTGTTTGGCATACATTTCTTGCAAAAGACGACCAACAAAATTTTCTTTACTGGATGTTTTTTCTTTATCGAGATCGTCTTCTTCGTCCAGCTCTTCAGCCTCTTCATCATCATCGTCTTTTTCTTCATCATCCATTTGATCATCATCATCTTCATCTTCTTCTTCACCTTCATCAAGTTCACGTTCCTTTGATTTGGATTTACGTTTACGTCGAAGGTAATCGTCGAGGAATTGAAGATGATCTGAGTATTGGCAACTTATTTGTTGGCTTGGATTTTTGGTTTTTCGTCGAAGATAACCATTGTACAGAGACCGTATAGAGCGCCATTTGTATTGACATTTGTCAACTAATCAAATGTAATTAATTAATCAATGAAATTCTGATTAAAAAATGATTAACTTACCTGGTTGTTTTAAGATTCTAGACACTTCGTTCCAAGCACGCTGGCGTTGACGATATTGTTGATATTCGGGCAATAATTCATCGTAGAGAACAGGACGTTGTTTAACCAATTCGATCAATTTGAAAGGATCTACTTTATTGTCGGCCATATTGGTCATTATTGAAATTTTTGGTATTTTCGAATTCATAAAATGATCTATGCCAATATCACCAATGAAGTGCACACACACACAAACACATACACACATACTTGGCCATTTGCTTCAGAGAGCTTTATGGCCGTGGAAAAAAATCCAACCGAAATTGGCAACTATCATCGTATGAAAACGTACAACATACGGATGTCTTGTGATGATCGTCTTTTGACTAGTTTATACATTGTTCCATAAGTAAATTTTTATCATTATGGATGGTAATGAATCAAGATAATTAGGATAATTTATTTAAATAATTAAATTATGTAATATGTTGGCTATACATTCTATATCACAGATAAAATATGGAAAAAGAAATGAATTACAATGTCAGTATTCAATTAACGTAAGTCTTGTGGAGCAAGATTAGTGCTACCCGGTGGACAATGTGGCGTTATGATTGGTATCAAACTGGCCAATGATGGTGGTGAAGTTGAGTATTGACGCATTGTTACTTCGGTTAGAAGATGCCAGATTTTGGTCATTATTTCTAAGCGATTAGTCACCGAAAATGATTTTAATTTCATTGCTACGTAATCGGCAAAGATGTCCATTTCGGATCCTGTTAAATCGTCAGCGGTTGTAGGGGTCCATTTGGATAAATTATTGTGATGATGTCGATTATGATTATGGTGGTGTACATCGAAACAGATAAGCATCGATTCAGGAGCTTCCAATGTGATTCGTTTCATTTTTTCACCACCGTTCGATGTTGACGATACGGTAATGGCTTTCTTAACATTGTTCAAATCAAAACAACCATTATTTTCATGATGGTCTCTATCATCGTCCAATTCTTGTTTGTTCACAGCTTTAAATTTCTTTGAACAATGTTGAACTTCGTCCATTTCATCATAATCATCGTCTTGTTGTTCATCATCTTCATGATCATTATCGTCACAGGTTTCTACATCAACAAGATTAGGCTCCGAAATTTTTGCCTTGCCATACGAGGAGGTACCATTTGATTTTCGATGTTGAACAGTAGTTGTTCGTTCAAATGATGATAAAGAACCAGATCTGGTACGTTTTGTTGCCATCGAAAGATTCATTATTGAATGTGTTGGTGATGAATTTTGGCCACCATTATTGTCATAATAGTCAACATGGCTAACACCACTTTGATTAGAATTGGATAAATCATGATCATCATTTGATTTCATTGTTGTTAATGTCATTAAAAATGCTGCATCAGTTGCCGAAAGAATATCCTTATCGGTTAAATGATGTATCGAATTATTATTATCGTTTGAATGAATTGAAACGGAACTTGAATAACGATTACGTTTAAGATATTGTTTAAGGAAAGCCATTTCATCAGCATGAATCCATTTGGTACGTGGTTTTTTCATACGTTTCAATTTATTCAAATAGGTATTGAATGCAGTTCGTAATGAATTCCATTTAGTTTTACATTCGCTAACTGGAGAAAAAAATTATTCAATTTTTAAGAATTTTCAAGAATTTTTTTTGTTTATAAAATTCAAAACTTACCGGAAGCATTCATTTCCAATGCAATTTCTGACCAATTACGTTCGGCAATCAATTTATTATTATAATCTTCCATTTCAAAATTATAAAGCATAGGTCTTGCTTTTATCAAACGTATCAATTTATGTGTATGCATCGTTCTTTTTTTGGTTTTTTAAATTTTAAAAAACTTTCGTAAGATTCTTTCGAATCGCTATGTGTGTGTGTTCACAGGACCAGCGTCAAATTTGAAATGAAATAAAATGATAGAAAAACAAACCTAAACAAGATGAAAACAAAACAAAAAAAATTTTTTGCTTGCTTGAATCTTGACAGTGTAATTCATTTTTTTTCTTCTTTTACTTTGTACATTCATTTATTCATACATTCATTCATTTCCCAAATGATGATGATCATCATCATCGCCATCATCATCATCATCATCATCATTATCATTTGCTGCCAATGTTGAATAACGAAAATGGTTGATGATGATGATGATGATGATCATCATCATATTCAGTCACATAGCAAATGAATCGCTACACGGCCATCATCATCATCATTAAATTTGTTGTTGTTGTTGCAATCGGTTTTTTTTTTTTTTTTTTTTTTTTTTTTTTTTTTTTTTGGTTTTGGGGGGGCCGGGCTTTTCCCCAAACTTTTAAAACAAACG